TCCTCATATAGTCTTTATATCCTTTGCAATATCTTGATATATCTTTATCTCCGCATTTTTTTATATATCCCTTATATGTTTTATAAACATTTTATGCGCAAAAGGCCTTGAATCTGTCTATATTCCTATATTTCTCTAGCGCTCAGTATAATCTTTCTGCCGTAAGTATTTATATATGTAAATATACTTTTTTCTGAAATAACAGTTATTCCAAGAGTCACACAGCATTTAAAAATTTTTTCAGTTATTCCCCGATCTTTCATTAGCCTTGTGTTATGTGCATTAAATCCATACTTGAAAAACAACCTAAATTTTATTCGGCTACCTTAACAAGTATCGAATTTTGTATTGGAGTACCGCTTTCTAGTTTGAGTTCCAGATTTTTTATTCCAATTTATTACTTCTCTCAGTTGGCTTTCTTTCAAGAATTAAAGTTTGTCATCTCATTTTAGCTTTATGTTAGTTTCGATCTCAATTTTATTTCATAACTCGTCAAATCTTTCGTTTTTTTTTAATTTTTTTCAAACTTTCCTCAAAAATGTTTAGCGTTGCTTGCAAACAGTATTACGTTATCAAAAATTCACTGAGGGCTATCAAAACTACACAGACTAAACTCTTTGCTGTGTATTTTTTATGTTTTTTTTAGGAGTTTCATTTTCGTAGCAACATAGTGAGAAACATTTTTTATGTTACAACAGTTGAATCAAAAATCATAACCATTTAATAAACAGCATCATCCGCACTTCAAATAATGTATAGCTTGATCTCTCCTTATGTTATACGCATTAAATCCATACTAATTTATATTCGGCTTATACGACTATATGGTTTTCAATATTTATGAATTGAATTTATGCGCATTTGAACTCTACAATATCCTTAACAGATTCACACAGAGAACAGATTTGATCAAAACCGAATTTCGTAAAATATTCTTTTTTTAGTCTGAGCTTTTAATTTTTTTTTTACTCGAATCACACTCAGTATGCTTTCTTTATTAATTTCTTTTAAGTAGACCTGCTTCGCTTTCTAACAAATTTCGTAAATCAGCGTAAACCTAAGTACCAAACAATTCTTGAGAAAAAGTTCAGCACTTATGTAGTTGGCTTTCTTTTGATGACCATATATGTATGTATATAGATTGCAGTTTGAAAATCGTGAAATAGCAATAAACTAGTAAGGCAAGAAAAAAACTAATAAACAATAATATTTATATTAATTTTGATATACCTTCAACAGCAATAATGGTGTTTGAAACCAAAATTTCTTGAATAATATAAGTAATGGAATACTTATTATATTGTAAGTTCGGAATCATTTCAATACGCAACTTCCGCAGAACGCTAAAGGTTGTAAGTACATCTATATAATAAGCTATTATTTGAAAAATACTCAATAATGTTAATGTATTATTTCTATGCGTTAGAATGTCGTATACGAAAGTTGGAAAGTAATGTTAAATATCATGTTAATCAAAAAATTTTAATCGATTCGGTTGAAACATTTGGAAATGTTATCGTTAAGCGGTTAGCAAAATAATTTTTATTTCGTTTTTACCCGAAATGAAACTTGAGAGCTTACGTAGAATATATTAATACATATGTGTATATGTACATTCATTGACGAAAGACTGTTGGTAATGTTAAGTGGTTAACAGATAATGTTAAGTGAAGTGTACCGCTTATATCATAGCAAGAGCAGCCATTTTAAAATTAATGTTAACGATAACATGGCGACGAAAAGGAATGAAATGGTTTATGTTGAAATATCGTTAATGTTAAATCATTTTGTCATGTTTATATTTCATTTAGATAGTTTTTTTTTTAATTTCTTGAAATATTTTTGCCTAAGCAATTTTCATAATTTTGAAACCGTGTTTAAACAAATCGGTTTCAGGTGTTTCCAAAGACGCCGAGAAACGTTAGTGTTAACTTTTGGCATGTATTTAAGGGAACCAATAATATACTTCTTGTAAGATACTCTTTTCAGAAATAAATTAATTTACTTATAATATACATAGTAATACATGTTCTGCAGACATATATATGTACATAGGATGTGACCAAAATAGTTCATGCGAACATATGTATATGCATACCTAAATACGGGTATGTGCATATTAGTAGTACGTCATACAAGGATAGATATTTGCAATAAATGGTCAAAATGAGTTTGGTATCGAAATAGGTAAACATGAATAATGTACATATGTACAATATATATATATATATAGATATATATATGAGGATATATATATGTATGTAAATAAATATAAATAATGCATAAGCACTAAAAATGTTTGCCTCTATTATGAGTTTTAGCGTGAACCCACTCATTTGTTTATCTCTGGGGGTTAATTATATTATTTGGTAAATACGTATATAGGTATGTGACAACTATTTTTAAAATTACACAAAAATATTTGTGAGCGACATATGAACATATACTATATATAACACATATGTAGATACTAAAGATATCTGTTCAGTGAGATGATACAGTGTAGAATTTATAGAATATTTTTATTTTGCAAGTATTTACGATGCAATGCTAGAAGTAACAAATAATGGTATGTCAGATTCACGATTCCTATTTCTATTTTTGCTAACTTTATATATAATATATTCTAGCATTTGCCAAGAAGAATTCGAATAAATATAACGTTTGTATACTTTTTGCATTTATATATAAACGGCGGGCTTTAGAAGAAAAAAAATCGACTGGAATTTCGTTTAAAATATTTATATAAAGTAATAAATAAGAAAACTTAAAAAAATCGGACTAAAAATATTGTATAGTAAAAAATACATATTTGGAAATCATCATATTGTTGAAGAACTCAAATTAATTAAAATTGATAAGCAAAAGAAAATCAGTTACATTTATATAAAATAATATAAATTATATAAAAGAATTAATAGTTTGCTTCATTGTTGGAATATACATTATAAGTACTTCAGATTAGTATAATATCTCGTTGTCTAAATGCATTTGAATACAAGAAATATGTAGTGAGCTTGCTATTAATTTATACTACATAATTATTATATATGTGAATATGTATAGAGCATAACATAAAATGTGTGTATGCAAGGGAGTGTTGTAAACACAATAGTTAATTATTATGTATGGCTTTATAAAATAATAAACTTGCCAATTTCATTATGTAATGTTAAAAATAAGGAAATAATAAACTCTGGGTACCTACTTGCGAGTTTGGATAAACCTTTGTTTAAATATATACCAACATATAAAATATATTTAATATTTTTAGGCATATTTGAAACCGTTAAGGCACTAAATATCATAACGAGAACTTTATAATTTAAGAAAATAACTATGATAGACTATTAAATTTTTCATTAAATTTAAGAAGTACAATTGAAATCCATACTCATTTCGAAACTAGAGCGGGCGTGCTATACCATATTACCAATTAAATTTTTTCAACGCTTATTTAGTCATATGTACAATACATATATAATTTTATATAAATAATTATGTTCATAGGCATATGCAAGGTAAACACAAATCCCAAACGACCGTTTAGGTTTTATACTTGAAACGTCTAATATATAAGCCTGGACTATGAGGAATACACGTACGTAAATGTAGCAAAAGTCAAAGAAATATTTTTATAATATGATATTTTTTAAAACTTTTATAAGACAGAAAGACTTCAAACTTAACGCTTAAACGCAAATATTAGATTAATCTAAAGTTAAAAGAAAAAACGTAAACTTCACTAAAATCTCATAAAAGAAATTCATAATTTACGATAATTTATAGAGGAGCACCAGAGAAAAATGCTCTTCTGGATGACTTAATAACGTTATTCTGACATAAAACATCAAGGTTAATTTTTTCATGTTAAAGCTCAGGGCTTAGTAACTCTTTATAACTCTGTACTGTCATCATTCATATTCATTTTATTCGAAGCTTGCATAGTAAATTTATATACGGAGTCTAGTTTTAAAGTCTTTCGAAGTTATAGTATTTGAGGTAATATAAAATAAAAAAATTATGGATAATGCTTTCAATGGGATATTTTTTCATGTTAACGCTCAGGGTTTAGTAACTCTTTATAACCCTGTACTGTCACCATTCATATTCATTTTATTCGAAGCTTTCATAGAAAATTTATATACGAATTCTAGTTCTAAAGTCTTTCGAAGTTATAGTATTTGAGGTAATAGAAAATAAAAAAATTTTGGATAATGCTTTTAATGGGATCATTTTTTCATGTTAACGCTCAGGGCTTAGTAACTCTTTATAACTCTTTACTGTCATCATTCATATTCATTTTATTCGACGCTTTTTTAGTGACTTTANACTTTATATACGAAGTCTAGTTTTAAAGTCTTTCGAAGTTATAGTATTTGAGGTAATAGAAAATAAAAACATTATGGATAATGCTTTCAATGGGATAATTTTTTCATGTTAACGCTCAGGGCTTAGTAACTCCTTATAACCCTGTACTGTCATCATTCATATTCCTTTTATTCGACGCTTTCTTAGTAAATTTATATACGAATTCTAGTTTTAAGGACTTTTGAGATTATAGTCTTTGAGTTAATAGAAAATAAAAAAATTATGCATAATGCTTTCAATGGAATAATTTTTTCGTGTTAACGCTCAGGGCTTAGTAACTCTTTACAACCCTGTACTGTCACCATTCATATTCATTTTATTCGAAGCTTTCATAGAAAATTTATATACGAAGTCTAGTTTTAAAGTCTTTCGAAGTTATAGTATTTGAGGTGAAAGAAAAAAAAGAAATTATGCATAATGCTTTCAATGGTATCATTTTTTCATGTTAACGCTCAGGGGTTAGTAACTCCTTATAACCCTGTACTGTCATCATTCATATTCATTTTATTCGACGCTTTCGTAGAAAATTTATATACGAAGTCTAGTTTTAAAGTCTTTCGAAGTTATAGTCTTTGAGTTAATAGAAAATAAAAAAATTATGGATAATGCTTTCGAAGTGATATTTTTTTATGTTTACGCTCAGGGCTTAGTAACTCTTTATAACTCTTTACTGTCATCAACCATATTCATTTTATTCGACGCTTTCTCAGTGAATTTATATACGAAGTCTAGTTTAAAGGGTATTTGATCGAAGTTTTTATTAAAAAATTTTATACAACGCTGTCAAAGTGATATTTTTTTCATGTTAACGCTCAGGGCTTAGTAACTCTTTATAACCCTCAACCATATTTTTTTGAAAATTCGATTGAATAATTGAAAATAATAATTTTTTTGGAAAGTATGCAACACTTGCTGTAGTTGGAAATCTTGAATTATCAAAATTAATGAAAATTGTTTTTGTTACTGGGAAAGAAATTTATAAATTAAATAGAAACTTGCGATATTGGTTAAAAGATATTTTGTGAGTGAAATTCTTGTAACAAATAAAAAAAATTATCTTTTCGAGACATTTTAAGGGTAAAATATTCAGGGGTGGTTTAGAAACCGACATTAAATTGCTTATTTATCGGAATTGAAAATCAATTTCCTTTAAATTGTATTAATAATTCGACTTGATTTTGCTATGTCGAAGATAAGCAAAACCTATTATCGAATCAACTGAAAACAAACTTGTGCCAATAACCCGATTAATTTATGCATTTGTTTTTACACATTTATGATTTTATTGTAAAGATTAATTGACTTTATCCGTGATAGCATTTCTGATAAAAGAAGGATTTGGAGAAACTAGCGAAAAAATAAAACGAAAACGATTTTAAGGGATAAGAAGCCAAAATCGACGTTAGTGCATCTTGCTGATTGATACAAAAATTTGGTTGTAAATTCATAGGCCAATAACATCTTAACAAAGAAGACTTTGCAATAGTGCTCGATGTCGGTGAAGATAAGATATAATATATATGCTGGCCACAATGCGGGTTTTGGCGGAAGGCTGCTATCAACGGTCTATGGGCAATTACTCAAATACCTCCTTAGCGTATCGGTGGTTACAACATAAGTGCTAAGGGCTTTCGAACAGTTGATTTGTTCATGCTGGATAATGTTAGGAATTATCGTACGGCATTATTGGTAATAACATTTTTATTAAATTCTCGCTTGAAAAGACATCGATACAAATTCTGTTTCGAAAATGAAACCGATATGCAAATCTATAATCCAAATGTGTAACTACTGAAGCAGCATTTTGTCGGTTTCAATTCTAGTTCTGGCAATAATCATCTGATTCTTTAACACCCCTGATGGATTAATTTAACATTAATTCATTTAACCAGAATTTCGAAATTTGAATATTTTCTCCTAGTTTTGTATCCTGCCTATATTTAGAAGAAATTCCAATTATCTAATGATAATTTTTTTAAATTATTATAAGACTAGGAAACTAAAAATTATTCCTGATTTTACATAGCGTACTTTATTCTACATTGGGTATGGACATTGCCGCTCGTTTCATAGGCTTAACGCTTAGTGTCTGGTTTACTTTCGTATCTTTTGTAATACAGATGATTTGAGGGTTTGTTTTTTTTGCGCGGTAATACTTTTCATATGGGAAAGCAGGTTATTTTTATATTAAGTAGTTTTCATTATTTTACTTTAAATTCAGCTAATTTGAAGATTTACTTTTAAATTCTTTTCTTTGTTTGTTATTTATAGAAAAAAAAAATCGTTGTTTGATAGAAATGTGTATAAATCTTGCTGTTTTTTTTTTGCTTCAAAATATGCATTTCTCAACATCGTAGATTTTCATAAACGCAGTTATGTATTTATATATTTATACAGATGTATTTATATTTTCGTAGGCGATTTAAGCGTCGATTAATTTTAGATTTTAAGCAGAGTTTTAGGATTATATAATATCATTGGATGCATATAAGTTATGGATTTTTTTAATTTCGCAGCTTCCAGTGGACATTACGCAAACTCTTTTTATACAATAATAATGTCATTTTTATACCCATAAATAAACGCAGGTTATATTTTATGTAGTCGAATAATATGTTTATATGTGAAGAATTTTTTTATCAAATGAAAAATTGTTTTTTTTTTGGTACACGCTCAAATTATCTGTTTTAAATTTAAGTGTTTTTCGAAGTTATACGCTGTTTTAAATCAATCGATGTTATTGTTATATAAAAAAAGTTTAATAAAATATATATGTAGTTGTGTTTAATATTTTTTGATGTTTTTAGGCATGAATTAATTATTTGTACTCACTTTGGTCAGGTATGATCGCATCTATAAGTTATTTTAATTAAAGACTTAAAAGAGGGTGGAATGGAATAGTTATTTATTTTAAATTTCGCTGTAGAAAATGCTCTTTTTTTCTTCTTTTTTTGCTTATTATTTATGTTTTTAACGCATTTTGTAGTTCCTTAGTGTGGATTTTTGGTATAAATTGATTTAAGACATGTATTAAATAACGCAGTAAGTTTTAAAATAACAATTATTTCCTTTAAACCAATAAAATCATATTTAATTATATATTATTTTGATTTACGTAAGTTTGTATTAGGTTTCAAGACAAGATTTAGATACATTTTAAGAATGTATTTTGTACATCAACATATGGTTTTGATTTAATTTGAATTACTCATTCAACCCCTCACAATAGTAAATTATAATTTGTTGTATTTTGTTTTTCTTTTCCCTTTTTTGGTTTGTTGAGATAAAAAATATTTTTTGTTAGGTTTTTCTTTTCTTAACAATTTGTGGTAAAATTGAGATTATTAACGTACGTTATTTTCTATCTATATTGCAACATATTAACCTATGTAAGTATGTAAAGTGAAACAAAACAATACCAAATTTCAAATTTTCAGCTTCGTATCTCATTCATTCCTCTATCGCCGATGACAGGGGTTTTCGGTTACGTTTGTTCGCAGTAGAAGAGACAACAATAATGTCGACGTAGGAGAAGAAGAACAAGTAAATATGTATAACATATAGCCGCTAATTCTGAAAACTGGGTTTTCTTTGTTTGCAGATGGGTATCCCTTTGTCTTCAGTTTTTTTTATTTTTTTTTTATTTTTTTTTTTCAATACGTACGAAGAGGTGCTCTGCGCCTATGGTTAATTTGATAGTCTTTCAAATACTGAGTAGTAGGCTCAGACTGTTTTTCGACTTTGTCAGCAAACTGTATTAGCATTTCTGTTAATACATACATATATGTTTGCTTGTAACGTGGTAGTAGAAGTAGTAAAAACGACAAAATTGCATTTTCAAATACGCCCAATAACTATAAAGTTTAAAGAAAGAAATATATGGTTACGACATAAGATTTGTGGAAAAAACTTATTCAATATGTATGTATTAATGTACATAGTAGTCCTAAAACTTTTTTAATACTAAAATTATAAATGTTTGTATGTATCATTAAATTCGTTATAAAACTATTTACTAGTATGTGCTGAAGTATAATACCCTAATGGTGAAGTATTCTTAATGTTCAGTAAAAAATATAGTGGAATATTTGTGAGGTTAGAATATGTAGAAAGTAAAAAAAAAAAAATCGCCGAGAATTTAGAAAAATTTTGAATTATTAGTTTTCTGGCGATAGTTAGGAGCGTAAAAAATGGTATTATTTTATTGCGAATTAGGCGCAGAATATTTAGTAAATAACGGTTTTTAAAAAGGGGATAATGAAGAATATAGATAAAGAGGAGTAGAGGAATGTTTGAGAAAACAAAAAAAATCTTACCAATAATAATAGCTTTTCTGAAAATATCATATGAAGGTTTTTGATATTAGTTCTATTAATTTGAGTCCTAGTTGAAAAAATTGGCTATCCAATTGGCCAGGTAAAAGTGTGGAAACGAAAATTATTTTAGCAGTCTTGAGAAAACGAAGCAAAGAAATTGTATGCCAAAAATCTCAAAAAACAATTTTAAAAAGCTTCGTAAGAGATTTAAAATTTTCTTTCGAAAAAATTTTTTTTGTCTAATTATTTGCGTTAAAAATGCAAATGTAAATTTATAACGAAAACTACTCATAATTCAAATTAAAGTATGTAACTGCATACATACATATGTATGTATGTATGTAAGTAAATATTTATAAGGCTGCTGCATATAAATTGACGTCACAAGAAGGTGCGGTGCGATTTCCGCAAATATTTAATATATATACATATTTATTACATATCATATATGTATATATACCTTGAGAATATTCTAGAAAAGACATATATATATAAGTAAGAAATTTGTAGATACACATACACAGTCTACAAAAATGCGCAGCTGCCTTCGAAATTTTCGCTCGTGGAATGAATGAGATAAATATAGAGGTCTCTTTGCTTATACCTATGGTACGATTATTGGTTAATACAAGTGAATGTATGTTTGTACAGAAAAAAAACTTTTATGCGGAGGTAGAAAATTTCACAACGTTGCGAATGAAAAAAAAATATTACGAGTTACGCAGTTGTATATGTTAAGAAATAATGAAGTTTTTAGGTATACAGACATATAGACTGCCACACGTGGCACGAAAAAAAATATGACTCAGACTTATGAAATAAAGTTAAAACGTTTTAACTACATACTTAAAATAAGCAGTATGTATATGTAAATATCTTCATGATATGAAACTATAACTAATTATGTATATAAGTAAAACACAAATTAACGTCATTACGTTTTAGTACCTTACGCATTTTCCCCAATCCATTTGCCAACTCATTGCGTACTCTTTGGGGTCTCAGACTAAAATTTTCAACGCAGCTGTCTGACCAGAAAATCGTTTGTACATGTCTGACATTTGACTGCCTGACGTTCTGCTAATTTTTGTCCATACTGCATATCTCGGTAACTTCATTTTGTATCTGAAACCTGCCTTGTCCTGTACAACATAGAGATACGAATCCTCATTATTTCAGAACAAAACGTCAGCCTGCCTAACTAGATATTAGGTGGGGGTACGCACAAAATCTACGTCAGCGTCAGCTAAGTTGTGTTGAAAAAAATTCCACAATTTGGCCCTGGGCCTACAGAAGATTTCTTCATGTAATTTCCAATTTCATCTTTGAAGCGCTTTGGCCGCCACTCTCTGGTTCACCACCTAGATGCCCTTGAAATTTCCTTACGGAAAATATACTTCCGGTAGCCATTTGTGTAGACTTTCTTTTCACTACAAATACTCTTCAACTTTTTCTATACCACTGATCAAAAACCAGAAAATATATAAGTATGAAATTCAACACTTTTTCACTTTTACATTTGAGATACAAACTCTTCAACTTTTCAAACACAAATGATTCAGTGCTAGCTGGCATAGCTCTATTTATACCAGTTGGCTATGTAATCCGGAAAAGTCGGGAAAATTCTACAAGCGAATAGTTATTATTGATTTTCGCTTCGCAATGTATATATTTCACTCTAACATACGTAAAGTTTATTACTTTTATATCAGCGAGAAGAGAAGTCGGCGTATTGGAACGTATTCGTAAGATACACTCATACCTAGGTTCATGCACATATGCACGTACATAATGGTTAGATGGTTTTTTCCATGACAAAATAATTACGTTTGTAAAACGATTATGAATCATTCCAGCCAGATTGTGAAATTTAAAAATATAAAATTTTAGTTTCTGAACTTGATTTCAGAGTATTTCCATGTATTGAAAATTTAAATGAAATTGAAAATGTAAAAAAGTTCATTGAAAAATCAATAACAAACCGAAAATCAAACAAACATACGTATTTATTTTCGTTCTCTTTCAAGTTGTTAGGGCGCTTTGTCTTTTCTGTATTCAAAAATACATACAAATATATGTGTACACATTATAAAAAATTATGTATACTGAATGTACTTGAATGAAGATACTTTGGTTGTATATTCAGCTCTTTTTAACTTATAAAATTTTCCTTTGTAAGTATGTATAGCTTGTGTACTCGTATAGTGGTTATTTATTTTACCTGAGCTACCGGGTGGTTAAAAGTTCTAGAAATTTTTTATATATTCTACAAAACTTAAATAAGTGTCACAAATTCAACTGCGTAACAATGAAATATGCATGTATTTTTTGAAAAATTATTCTAGTAATTATAATTTAACAATATTTTTATGCCATAAATCGAGAGACCTGATTAATGGCAAAAAAAATATTGTAGAATTATAATTTCTTTTAATTTTTTAATTTTTATATGTACATATTTTATTTGTACTGCTTGTGGAACGTGTTCTCCTTAACGCAGAGAACACAATTCGATTAGGTAAATATGTAAATATGTATGTAGGTATATTTTTTTATGGCTAAATGCCTATTTTAACCGTTTACGGTGGGTTAAATGAGTAATCAGACGAGATAAATATTATTACATCAGAAACAAAATTGTAACGCTATATGCTGAATATAGTTATTTATCATATGTATGTATACACATTTATTATGTATAAATGAATTATTATAATGTAATGACCTAAACGGGTTTAAATCGCCGAAAAGGTGACAGCCCTTGGCCGGATAAAATAATATCATCATATCATCATATAAAGCAGATAATGGGTTCAACTATGATTCCACTTTCCTAGCACTTCTGGCTTTATTTTATATAATTAGATTTTCTTTAATTTTTTCATATTGTCAATTTGACTTCAATTAATATATACATATGTACATATATATAATTCTAAACAAAACTTAAATTCATATAAACTAACCTCTCACGCTTAATAATCTATAACAAATACTTTTACTCTATTTTGGTTAATTTTTTTTTATTTTATGAAACTTTTTATTTTGTTTTATTATTTATTATATTAAATTTTATCTGATTATATTATACTATATTTAAATTGACTTTATTTTAGTTTATTTCTTTGTGATATACTATACCAAACTTTATTTTGTGTTATCTTTAATTTTATTTTGTGATTTTTATTTTTTATTTTTTAAATTAATTTTATTTTCCATTTCAATTCAATTTATTTGCTTTACTTCATCTTATTTTGTAAAGATAACAATATTTAATTTTTTTAACTTCAATTTAATTAATTTTATGTTTATTTTAATGTATTTCATTTAATTTATCTTTTATTGTATTTTGGTTTTATTCCTTTTATTTTATTTTATTTTTAAATTAAGTTTATTTGTTTTATTATAACTTATTTTATTTGTTTCCAATTTAGTTTATTTAATTTAAGTTTTATCTTTATTTCCATAAAAAGTCTATCTCAGAGCAATAATCGCTGCAGCGACTGTACTTATCCTAATAATGGTTGTGGCCTGAAAAATCTCGAACTTCATATAAACGAACATATGTATATAGCAATTTTTTCAACAGTTTTCACGTGAATCTGGCTTGGTTACTATACTTTTTAAACACAAAGCAAAAATAAAAAAAAATACCTTAGATAATAAAACGGTGGTTGAAAGTACACTGACAAAAACCCACCCCTAAAAGTATACAATTCGCACGTATTGGCATATGTAAGGTCGAATGTACATTCTTACGAATGAATGTATGTATTCGCAAATATACTTAGGGTAAGTTTTCACTACGTAGGTGTCCACACGACTTTACAAAAATGTAGTCTTACAGGCCTATTCTGTCGAAGTAATAAAATGTACTTTGGTATTAAAATTTACCATTCAATAAATTTTGATACTTTTTCGAATTCTGAGTTCACTTTCACAGTGTAAATTTGGTTACCCGCGAAATAGGAGGTAACAAACAATCTACTGTTTGATTTTGTCTTGTTAGATTGAGATATAATAAAAGCCGAAATGCATAAGCATATTTTACGTTTAGAACTCATTGAGAAAAAGTTTTCGAGAATAAATAACCCTTTTAATTTGGAAGATATGGTATATTTTCCAAAATTATAACGTTTATAACATAATAAGCAAATAAAGAAAACTTATTTATTTTGTTGCGGCATACCATTTCGTTTTGAATATTCCTTACCAACTGGCAAGTATAATTTGACATGGTAGAAAAGAAACAGTGCTGCCAAAGTTTTGTCAAACAATATATGCTGTGCGCTAGAATATCAAATCCAATTTCGGGTGTTAAAAAAAGTTACCAAATTTACTTTACCGGTAACAGTGAGAATAGGCCTGTTAATCTAAATCTAAATCCGATACATTTTAGAGCTTAATGTAGTTTTTAAAGTTACTGAAATGTTATGTCTAATTTGAGTTTTTCCACAAATTTCTCTTCTGCTTTGTGTTGTTCGGTTTTTAAAGCAACCCGAAAAACTTCAATTTTTAAAATTTTGTGACAAATAGTAAATTGTAATTCACTTAACTTCCCGAAAAAGAACGCAATGGTATGTCTCTTACTACATGCTTACTTATGAGTAATCCGTATTACAACGGAATCACAATGCAACTTACCGAGCATGTATACAAGTGGTGGGAGTTCCTTGTAGCAGATGTTGAAGGAATTGCAAAAACAATGACGAGGAATAAACGCTCCTTGATTTCTTGTGCGACTGCCACAATTTGGCTAGTGTTAGGTGCAAGTTTTCGGTCTCAAGACCGGAGCAGAAATGTAATCTAGTGATTGATCACCAGAGTGTATTTGCATTTTAAAGGGAACACTTAAAGCATGCTGAATGGCAGTGAATATGGAACACCCCCCAATCGATGACGGCGGAGTTGTCCACAAACGTCGGCGAAAAACTGCATTAGCTTATTTAGCAATATATGGTCGGATGAGAGCATGTCCAACGATTGAAACATAAGTGTATTCTGACCAGTCCACAAAACGGAATACCGCAATGTCTGCGCGAACTAACGAGGGATAAGTCTCCCAAATATTTCGTCACACCGGTCACACCGAGCATATTGTGTGAAAGGCTAAGCGTACCTGCAACAAACTGATTGGACCTTAAAAGTGCGGTTTTATGGCTGATAAATCTGCTATCTTGGAAAAGGCACGTGAATAGAGGATCAACTCACATCACCTCTTTATCGATTTTATATAGCAATCTCAATAGAAAAAGGAGCTGCCTTTACGGCACTATGCCTGAATTTCATATCCCCACGTAACTTATCCACAGTAAAACTAACGTTGAGAAGGATCTCTCAGAGCTGCTCGATTCCACTCGCTGATTCAAGCAGGTACAAAATTCTATAAGAGTGTACAGCTGCTGGCACATACCGTTGATCCTCAACAACCGCACCGTGAGTTCTGCTTTCTCCAGACTATGTAAGGAAGCATAGAGTATGAGTCTGGTAGCGAACGAGGACAGGACGAAATATTTCCTGTAATCAAACAAACAATCATTTCACAAATTTGAAGCCGTAGATAATATCCGCGGATAAAATACCTTCGACGACCAAAGACCGTAATACAAGCAACTCATCATTCCCGTCCTGCTATATGGTTGGGAACGGGAAGGATAACCTGTACCTAGTAGCGACTACGCTGCCTATGCCTTGTGGTAGAGATGAGTTAGTACTCTCCAGCTTTCAAAGTTTTCGATGCAGCTCACTTCGATGGAAGTAGATCAAGAGTAAAAGCTCCACTCTGTTGGAAAGATCAAATGTGACTGTACTTGATACTTTCAACTGGCCCTAAAATAGTGAAAAGCTGGAATGATAGTCACGCCATTGTTAACTTGTCTATAATCGCGTAGGCGGTGTTTACGCTAATAAAGTAGAAGATCTGTCTGCTTTTTTCAATAACACACCCTTATTTTTCTCAGTGTACTTGCGAGGTTGACAGTATATTATATATATGTGAGTCGAGTACCTCCAAGGTGTTTGAACTCTTGGACACTTTGTTGTTATTGTCCAACAAACAGCTGAAAGGTTGTGTTTGCTTAAGAGCAGCAAACGAATGCAACAAATATAGAGTGAGAGTGAGAGTGAGGTACTCGTATTCTCCGACAGCTGTGAGAGTAAAAAATTTATTAGGACATTGTTGAGTATAAAATAAGGACACAAACCTATGTTATAAGGGTAACCGTTAGATGGTGTGATTTTGCGAGAACTCACACACATACACACGTAAGGGCACGCTTGCTTGGCTTGTATGTAGGTGTGCATACCTGAATATGTATGTCAATCTAGATTTTTGCTAAACATGAATGTATGTATATATATATACATACGTGTATGTATGTACAAATGTGGTGAGAATACCTAAATGGTTTGCTACACGCTAGTATGTTTTATTTCACTATTATAATATTTATTTTTATTTTTTCATAATGACGACCGGATGAAAATAGATGAGATAAACAACTTGTCAGCAGTGAAAGTAATATTGTTCTATTTGACAAATTGTAAGAAAATATACTCGGTGAAATGAC